ATTTGTAAAATAATAAATTGAAATTTGCATGTAAAATTAAAATCACTGTTATACACCCAGGGAGCTCTAGTGGCCTACTGGTAAGAAGCTGCCCTACAATCCCAGAGGCACCCCATTTGAATCCACTAGTTGCTCTGTAGGAGAAGAATGGCCAATCTCTTCCTGTGCAGTTTATTGCTTCTGAAAATACCTTGGAGAGGCAGCTATGGGTCGATTCCAACTATGGCATACAACAGCTGCACACTCACTTGTTATTTATTGTATAACATTGAGTCAGAACCAACCCATCGCTGACCCTCCAATGTGTTTTGGAGGCACTTTTATCCAACAGGAGGAGATTGCCCATCTTTAGCTTGTGGAGCAGCTGGTGAATTGAAACTGTGTGCCTTCAGGATTGCCATGCAGTTCCTTACCACTAGAGCGCCAGAGCTCCCCTATACACCCGCTAGCCTGGCTTAAATGAAAAAGATGGGGAACAAATATTAGAGAGGAACTTCGACACATTGCTGGTGTATTCAACTCAGTTCATTACTGTTGAGTAAGAACCAATTCATAGCTGACCTTGTAGCAAGTTTTTAGAGACTAAATTACGTGGGAAGAGATTGCCAATATTTCTTCCTTGGAACCACTGGTGGATTTGCACCAACAAGAGGCACTACCTTTAGATTACCAGCTCAACTTGCTATGGACTACCCCATGAGAGCTCCTTTATTACTGGTAGAAGTATAAACTACAGGCACTTTGGAAAAGTGGCATGGTTTTTAATAAAGGTAAGCATACATTAACTGTACTACTTACCTTTCCGCTTCTAGGGAATATTTAAGAGAAATGAAAGTAAATTTCCACAAAAATCCTTATATGTGAATGCTTGTGGCATTTTTAGTCATAATAGCTAAAAACTGGAAGCCCCGATGTTCATTGACAGAAGAATGAATAAAAGAACATCGTATATTCATGCAATGGAATAATACACCCTCTCCTCAATTATCAACATGGTTAGGTTCAAAGAACAAGTTGTTTAAGAAATTAGTTTTATGCAGAAATGGAGGATGACTATGTTACCACATCACCGCCAGATTACATCATTACAGAACTGCCAAACCACTGGTAATCATGGCCCACTAAGTTGGCATTTAACCTTAACCACCACAACCAGTTTTATACTTGTCTTATACCTGAGTATCAGTCACTGCCAGATATATGCTATTTATTTGTAAAATAATTTTTAATAGATTTTTTTACCATTTTTTTAACTTGTAAAATAGAATTGTTTTGTGAAATAGGTTTTTTTTTATTATTTCCGTAAGTGTGAGATGTCAGTAATAAGGTATTGAGAAGATGTAACTGCAGTGGTAAATCTCAAAAATAAATCAGACATCAGGAAAAAGATAAATAAACCAGATGTCTCTGAATAATATGTTAGTAATTATTGAGTGTAAACTTAACTTATTATGCAAACTTTCACTTAAAATGTGTTATTATTTTAAGTATTAATAATAATTAGCCAGACATAAAATATATACTGTGTTATTTTATTTATATAAAATTCTAAAATATAGAAAACTTATTCATGGAGTGAGAGTAGCCATTGACTAGGAAGTGGCATTAGAAAACATTTGAGAGTGTTGGAAATTTTCTCTCTTGATAGGGATGTGATTACAAAAGTATATACGTTTACATTTGACAATGTAATATTACAGCTATAAATATTACAGCAGTAGAACAAACAAAAACTTTGTATGTAATCCTACTACTTAAAAATAATGTTAACATTTTGGTTAATGTAAAAATGTTTATTCTATATATAAGTAAACTATTTAAAAGACTGATTTTACACTGTAAAATGTTACATAAGTAATATGCTTTCTATTAGAATATCAATGAAGCCATAGTCTGTTGAAAA